CATTTGGGAGCTCTTACGTTTCTGCCACAAACTACATAAAAATTTCTTGCACATCTTATCCCCGTCCTCTAGGGCCTCTTGTGCCCAACATCTATCCCCAATTATCGCGATTGTATTTTCGCTGTTGTCTAATTTACCAAACTTGTCCATGTCACAACCTCTCTGTCTCATTTCCTCCTCGAGGTCCTCTCTTTCCTTCCTGTACAACTCACACTCCCCAACTATGTGGGGTCTACTCTCCTCCGATTTGCCACATGGACATGTGTGTCTATCCTCCTCTTCCTCTCTCCTACGGCTGGTATACCTCTTCCTCCGTTCTGGCAAGTCCAGATCGCCTACTCGAAATTGCAATTTCAGCTTTTTCGCGTAGTCCATGGGGCCGTCCAAGTACGTCTTCATCCCTATCCCTTCTTTCAACTTCCCGTATATCTCCAAGTGGTCTTCGCTTCGTACCTTCTTCCGAAGGGTTGCCTCCTCCCTACCTTCTAGCATCTCCTTGACTTTCGTCTTGAACCCCCCGGACCCTTCCGTGTCCAACGTCTCCTCCTCGTCTCTTATCTCCTTCCAAACCTTCTCTACCACCTTGTCCCATCTGATTCCCTTCTTCCTTGGAGTCGCTTTTCCCCAAGCTACCTTGTCAACCATGGCTGGTAGTCTATCGTCCGACATTCTACTTACCTTCTACTGCCAATTCAACTTCTGCATGTCTCTCTTTGTTTTTAGAGAGTACATTCCCAATTCTGCTCTCAATACAGTGTTGCTCGTTGTACTTGAACATCCTAGTATTTTCTTGGCCGCTGCCATCTGCACCGTTTCCAGCTGCTTGACGGCCTTTTCGTTACCTTCACATACCTCTCCTGCATACTCTAGCTTAGGTACAATCACATTCAAGAGAATACACCTCTTAATCCTAGTGTCTAGGTGTGGGTCCGTAAGGATCTCGTCCATCTTGCCTATCTGAGCTTTGCCCTTCCCAATCAACTTTGCTATGTGTGCGTCCCATGAGCACTCCTTCGAAATCTCTACTCCCAGGTACGTATACTTGTCTACTACCGGTAGTTCTTCCTCCCCCCATTTCCATTTGAATTCTACAGGATTTTTCTTGTCTTCGTTACAGACCACTACTGCGCATTTTCCTACGTTCGCCGACAGTCTCCATTTTCGGGTGTATCCTACCACCGCATCTATTTGTTCTTGCAACCCTTCTGGTGTTTCGGATACCCCCACGAAATCATCTGCAAACATCAGTCCGGACACACTCTTTCCCCCTACTTGGACTCCCTGTCTTACTGCTTCAACCGCCCTTATCAAATCGTTGATGTAAATCTTAAAAAGAGTGGGTGACATCGTACAGCCCTGTGCGACTCCTTGGAGTATATCCACGTACTTCGAAATTTCCCCATCCAACATCACCGCACTTCTTGTGCATTCTGTCATCTTTTTCAACATCCTCCACATTTTCCCCCGGATCCCGATGTCCCACATCTTTTTCCACAATCCATTGCGCCATACGGTGTCGTAGGCTTTTTGTACATCTAGGAAGAAACAGTATGTCGTACGCCCGGCGTCTTTCCTACCTTGGATAATTTTACTCAACGTATATACATACATGGTCTACACAACTACGATCTGGTCTAAACCCAGCTTGTCCTTCGCTGATCTTTTGTTTCCCCTCCAACATGTCTCCCATTCTATTGTCTATCATCTTGCCAAACAGTTTCCCCACTGTGCTCAGCAGGGTTATCCCTCTATAATTCCCCGGGTCAGTTTTATCCCCCTTTTTGAACAGGTTCACGACTACTCCTTCTCTCCATCTCTTCGGCGCGTACTCGTGTTTCCATATCCAGTTGAATATCCGGACCAACATGTTAATCATTCCCTCCCCCCCCTGTTTCAAAAGCTCGTTCACAATTCCATCAGCCCCTGCCGCTTTTCTATTCTGGAGTTTCGCTACGCAGTCCTCTACCTCTTCTCGTGTGAACTCTCCCTGCAACCCGTCTACATCACTACGTTCCCTCCGAGATCTTTCAACGTTTTCCTCTGCCCACGAGTTGATTTCCTTCTCAAACTCCGAGTCGAAGTTGTCGTTGGTGGTGGGTGTCCCAAGTTTGCGGTAGTGTTCTACTAGTACTTCCCTCTTTCCTCTAGAACTGCTTACCATCTTACCCTCGGCAGATATTAGTGTCGTTATTTCCGTGTCTCCCCCTCTTTTCTTGCCCACTATCCCTTGAATTCCTACCCACATTTGCTTCATCCCCCC